TAAGCCTCGCTTTGAGCTCCTGGAAGCTCGACTCACAACGACTATCCCACTCAAACTTCATCGATTTCCTCGTCAAACGGGACAAGGGTAGGACAATCTTCGAAAACCCCTTGATGAAACGTCTATAATATGCTGCCAAACCGAGAAAATTCCGAACCTCGGTGGCATTTCTTGGTTTCGACCAGTTTCGAACTGCTTCAATCTTGTTTGGGTCTACCTCAATTCCTCTAGATGTGACGATGTGGCCTAGTAAAGCCACTTGATCGAGCCAAAATTCGCACTTTGAGAACTTGGCGTATAACTTCTCACGCTGAAGAGTCTCCAAAACGGTTCTCAAGTGCTCCTCATGCTGCTCTGGGCTACTGGAATAGACCAAAATGTCATCAATGAAGACGATGACAAACTGGTCCAAAAATGTATGGAAGACACGGTTCATGAGATCTATGAATACCGCTGGCGCATTGCTTAAACCAAACGGCATCACAACAAACTCATAATGACCGTATCTGGTTAAGAAAGCGGTCTTGGCCACGTCGGCCTCTCTAATTTTTAGCTGATGGTAACCAGAGCGGAGATCGATTTTGGAAAATACACTGGCTCCCCTCAGCTGATCGAATAAATCCTCAGTTCTGGGAAGTGGATACTTGTTCTTCACCGTCAACCGGTTTAGATCCCAGTAGTCGATGCACATACGCATAGACCCATCCTTTTTCTTAACAAAGAGGACAGGCGCTCCCCAAGGTGAAACACTCGGTCGGATGAAACCGAGACTCAACAGCTTCTGAATCTGAGCCTTTAACTCCTGAAGCTCTTGGGTCCCGCTCCGGGGACTAAGTCGATTGTGAACTGCACCTGGCGGTTAGGTGGTCCTCCCAGAAGCTGATCGGGAAAAACATCCACAAACTCACGAACAATAGGTATATCTCCAGGAAATAGCTTCTCCGTAGATTCCCCTACAATGTTGACAAGAAATCCCTGACAATCCTCTCTCTGCATGTACTTTGTTGCTTTCGCCATGGAAATAACGCACGGTAGGGTTCGAGACTTCGTCCCGAAGAACGTGATGTGGTCTTCCTCGGATAAATGTAGCGTCACCTCCCGGTCACGACAACGGATGTCTGCTTGGTATCTCGCCAACCAATCCATGCCCAGAATTAAATCGAAGTCATTCATATCAATCATAA